AATATGTTGATTTTTCCTTGAAGAATGTGCTGCTACAACAGAATCATGGCATATTGATTCCTTAGTGTATGATTAGCCAAATCATATTGATACCACATCAATTCATAACAGCAACCAACCGTAACTGTGCCATCGCGATATGCCTTAAATAATCTGGTCTTCAATCTGTATCAATGTAGACTTAATGTCAAAAATATCCTTCAGACATGATAATAAAATGGTTTATAACAGGCTTTTATGAACGGTAACCACAATCTCCATGAGCCTTTGAGTCTATTACGAATCAAAAGATATGAAAATATAATTAATCTTGAAGACTTGAAAATTATGTTTATAGGATTATAAAATAATCAGCTTCTTTTTGTTTTGTCTGCAGGTTTCCCAATTAGCCATAGCTCCCCTATGGTTACAAAACGCTGCATACCTGTTTGAGGAGATTTATTGTTAACGGAAGCTACTGACAAAGATTGGACGACTATATTTTGATGTATTGCTCAACGTGGTAGGATGATAGATGGCGTTGTTTGCATGGTGAATTAGAGGGGCTTTCCAATAATTACTTAGAGTCAGTTAAGATAGCCATTTATAACAACGAATAATAATTGTAATATTTTGACGTAAATGTAAGATTGAGGTACCTAGTTTATAAATATTTATGACATGACTTGCTTTGTAGTATTGGGTAAGATTACACACTTTAGTCTGAACATGCACAGAATATCATGATATTTCATGATCATGTGAAAGCAATGGATGTAGTGAACAAGATCCGTGTATTACCATTATCTTTCGGAGGCACCAGGGTAGTATCAAATTGGCAAGACAGTATCATTTACCAAGGCAGCATTCCTGATTCATAAATCTCGCAAAATGTCGGCCATTTCATACTCCACTGCACACAGAAAAGAAATCAAACCCAACAACAACTATATCCAAAGTAGCATTAGCATTTACTTATTATCATTTTTACTGTTTATTTTGTTATGATCATGGTCTTGCAATTAGCCCTCTGGCAGGAATTTGCAACAAACTTTCTATTCAATACGCTATCAATTTGAATGGTAAAAAAACAGATACCAGGACAAAAAAGCATAAAAACGCGTAAAACACGTCAAATAAAGCCTAAGCCTAAACCTCGGCTTGAAGAGTGCTGCCATCGCATTGCCGCTAGCCCGCAATCCCTGTGCAGAAGTGTTAGTCCCAGAGGCAGTCATTCCGGTTGACCAGTTCTGATACAGACACCCTCCCTGGTTGCCTATCTATTTCCCCACAGTTACGACATGTCAGTTCCAATTTGCCACTCTTCCACACAAAATCAATCGGCTTTGTAATGATGACAAAAACCTCTCAACATTGTTGTTCCTCTGTCCACCTATTACTTCCGCACATCATCAGTCAATTTGCTCGCCCGGTGACCGTTATTTCAAATGGTGACCGTTATTTCAAATGGCTGCAGATTGAATTGTGTACTCAGATGAAAACGTATCGTTCGGTTTGTCATTGTCTGCCTGTCACGGATTGTTGTCATTATCAAAACGTGTCGGAGAGGAGGGGGGTGGAATTGTTCTGGAATATTCGTTGATGTGTTGATCTACTACAATTAATTGTCAGTATATGATCAGTCGTACGCTATCATAGAAATGTAGAGAAGTTTGTAAATTTCTACTTTGACGACAATACATCTAAATTGTACAGTTAGACAAAGTCGAGAGTGCAGCTGATTATCAATTATAAACCACAGTGATTTAGAAATGTGATCCAGTAAAGGTTTTCATACAATGTAGGTGGAGAATCAACGATACATCAAGCAAGTGTTTTTGTGCCCGACCATGTTTATAAATAAAGCGTGGCGTTAAAAAAACCCGTCCTAAACATATTATTAACTAAGTAAAAAGATGCAGCCAAAGAGCAAAATAGTAAGTTAAACATATTTTATTATTATTAATAACATTAAGAAAATTTCAGCAATGACCAGGTGATTGGGGGTCTTACTCCCAAGGTGACCCCACATTTCTTGCCGTTTCATCCATATCATAATCAGTTTTTATTCCGCAAAAGTTACGGTATTAACCTTTTGACTTCTTCCATCTCCTGTCAACATAGATAAATGAGCTGCTGTGTCACGGCGTATCCATAATTTGTGTTCGCAAATGAAACGTCTATTCTTTCCAATCCCTGACCTAGATAGCCTTGATTGAAATATGTTGTCTGCAATGTAGCCGACCTGTTGCAGTGGATTCTGCTACAGTAGCTGATGTATGATGTGTTTATACACTAAGTACGTGAAGTATTATGCCTGAAACAGCTCATATAAATCATACACTGAACTATCTCGCAGGTAATTTATCTTATATCAGCATTTCTAAACTGAATATAGAAGTGGGGTCGTGTGGCGTAGCGGTAGCGTCTTCGGCTCGGAACCAAAAGGTCCCGGGTTCGGTGAAAATAAGTGCCTAGCTTCGGTTAGAGACGTCCCTAGGATAGGACGTTAAATGTAGGTTCCGGAAAAGAGTAGGGGACCTTCCCGGTGTGAGTGGTTCAAACCTTACAGTCTGGTCTAAGGTTTGACATCTTTGAAGAGGTGATAGTCACCTGTTATGTCAATCCTTCCACAAATGTGGTAAATCGTAATAAATAAATAAAAAATAAATAAAAAGGAACAGATGATATTGTAATGTTCTGTCCAAAGCTCTAGTTGGTGTTTTACGTAATATGCTATTCACATTTATTAAATCAAGTACAACAGATTTCCAGAGATTTCCAGAGAAAGATGTTCAATAGTTGTTGCCATACACTGTACCGTGCACGTAAAGAAATAAAGTTCATCTTCATAAGCAAGAAATGTCAAGCAACCTATTGTTGTTTAAACGCTGAATGATTCAGAGATAGTTCTTGAAGAAAGAAATGGAGAAAATGTCAACCACTATATTGGCAATCGTAAACTTCGAATGGGAGTATCATTTTGCAGGTGATTTAGTATTCATGAAAGGTTACATTGAAATGGCCCATCGGTTTTATTGTTATCTAGAAGTGGCAATGACTAGTTGTAAAAAAAGACAAATTTTTCAAGTATCGTCAATGCCAAGCTTTATTTGTTTTCAAAATCTAAGTTCTAGATCTTATGATCTGTTTTGATAGAGACTACTTTATAGGGTATTGATCACAACAAGTGCAGATGACCCCAAGACATACAAGTATATAATTTCATGACTTATTTGTTAAAAAAAAACAAATTCAATTATTTGAAAAAAATATATATGAAGTAGTGTTAGAGCCTGTTTTGAAAGCATGTCTTGTTTGGCTTAAAATATTAGGCTAAATATTTTGTTTAAAAAATCTGGTGTGCCAAACAATTGTATGGAAATATTCTGAATAAGGCACTCTATGTGATATTGACACGTACTGCTTCACATTAGCATATTTGAGTCAGTATTTCATACTTTGGGCTTTTAAAACTGCGGAAACAAGCCCAAAGATGAGTCCTTTATTTTCTGGATGGTACCCTACAAATCAGCCCAGGGCCCTTCCAGTAACAATTTTCCGTCAGAATTTGGGACATTCTGCTCCCTGGGGGTCAATATACACTGGGACAGTGTGGTTTGAACTTAGTATGTAGACAAATGACAAGAATATTGGCTTTGAAAAATCGGCCCTAAAAACTGCATTGGATGGCTTTAAGTTCGGTAGGGTTATGGCCTATTTCGAGTGCGTTCACCCTATAGGTAATTTAACAACACAAGAATGGGCGTGTCACCGCCTCAGACATGTCTGACAGAGAGGTCAAATTTCAGCTCACCTTGCTCCCTCTAGAATAGGCTCTGAGGAATTAATATTTCATGGCAGGTTACAGCAAAGACCTGGCAAATACGTGGCAGGTCGTGCCGGCATTACGTAAATGTTACTCGTGAAGTCATCTTTGGCATTAAGTCAAATTTCTAGTGGACAAATCATAGAACATATGTGATAAAACCTGATCAATACTTGTGTGGCTAACCGTATAAAAACCGTAAAAAAACAAATTGGCAGATACAGGTGTTTTTTAATTGTACGGCCTATTGGCTTGATTTTACTTTTTTTTGCATATATTCAATGTGGTTGTACACTTTTGACTAGGTTCAATTTGATTCTACATTTTTGCATGGATTCAATTTCATTCTATGTTTTTTTATAACTTAAATTCGATTACATATTTTTGGCTATAGATTCAATTCTAAGTTCAAAGAGGAAGGAAAAATAGTCATAGTTAAGAAGAATCAAGCAATGAAGTGTACTAAATGTTTTTTAAGCCATGAAATCGTTAGAATGTTCGCAATCTATTGTAGAATGTCTGAAATCTATACGTATAAACAAGATTTAAAATATGGTTCATGTGATTTGGAATCATCAAACACTTAGAAAGTTAAAAGCTCTCATGATATCAAGAAGCAACGTTGTAACGATAATCATATTTTACCAGTCAAATCAAACCATATGTCTCTGTATCTTTTTAAATTATTTGCGGTTGATTGAGCCAGCATTACCGATGTTTTACTCAGGTTACTCAAGTTAATCACACATTCTGGGGACGCCGACTAATTTCGTCCCTTGGGAGCTAAATATTTGGAATCTTTCATAATGTGATTGTCCTGGAAGAGATCATCCTGAATTGAATCAATGGACACGTTTCGCCACTTGCAGTTCATCCATTCTTAATGTGTAATTAAGGCCACAAGACAAGAGACACGAAGAAGATCCATGTAACAACCATACATACTACCAATCATACCAGGAAAGCTCATAAAGTTTTTGATTGTACTACGGTTTTAAAAGATTACGTGCAATAAGGGGAATGTAGAAACCTTGGTGGTGGGACGTGGGTAAAGTGGTTAAGATGAGACAGTGGAATTACGGGAACCTGGCACGCGGCACATCAATAATTGACGAGGCCTGATATGCAAAGTGAACAGTAAGCCCGGATGTGTGTGCCAGCTCCGGCATCAAAGAGTGAACGTGTCGTGTCAGAGGAACGGACGTCCCACATTCCGGGCTCCTCCTCACACCTTCCGGGCCCAAGATGTGTTTCCAGCGACTCATTCTAACCTGGGGAATCACTTAAGAGATGGCAGGACCCAGGCCACGGCACACGTTGAGTATTATATATTGCCTTCCTCATTATCGACTGTCAGTCATAAAGCTTGTGATGTGATAAGTTCTTGTGGGGGGGGGGGGAATGACTACCAGTATGCCAGCATACGGAGAAGTTTCATTACTGTTGATGAAACACATATTGGTGTCGAGACAGTTTCATTATACTGATGAAGTTTTCGGAAAGCTCTCATTACTGCTAGAGGGAGATTTATTTACAGCATTGCTAGCTTCCCTGGAGCGTATGGATTTTGTAACAGATCTAGGTCGAATCAAAATTCACCAGCGTGCCAGAAGTATTAGACAAATTATTTCGCAATAATGTGTATGCGAACTTATTATTACTAATACTAATAACTACAAATTTGATACTGCCATCCTGGTTACAATTACCACCATCCTACAGTCTGGTCTGGTTTACGGCTTGTTTGAAAACTTGGTTGTCGTTGGTATATGGCAATGTCTTGGCTTGGAGTTATAAGAATAAACAGTTCGTATCTAAAGCAGAGAAACGTTGATTTCCAAGCTGTTTGTCTATCAGCAACCGAAATATGCATGTAGACAAAATATGTCTCGAGAATGGGATGCTGAACATGTCTTGTAACGTATTCACGCAACATTATCTCGATGTCTCCGTCTGTCTTTCTCGTCACGTATGAATTCAATACCAGACAATGATGTAACTCAAGTACCAGGAGAATTCCCTGCCTCCCAATTTCTTTAAAGGCCATTGGTTAAAGATAATTAAAGCCAATGCTAAACATTGTTTGGAACATCTTTACTCAATATTATCTCGATGAGACCGTCTGTTTTTCTTGTCACGTATAAATTCAATACCAGACAATGATGTAACTCAAGTACCAAGAGAATTCTCTGCCACCCAATCTGTTGAAAGGCCATTGGTTAAAGGCAATTAAAGCCAATGCCAAGCATGTCTTTTGTAACATCTTTACTCAATATCATCGCGATGGCTGTCTTTCTCGTCACGTATAAATTCAATACCAGACAATGATGTAACTCAAGTACCAGAAGAATTCTCTGCCACCCAATTTGTTAAAAGGCCATTGGTTAAAGGCAATTAGAGCCACTTTCCAGCCGATAACCGCACACGTCAGCAAAGGGACCGCGGATTGAATACCAAGCTATCATTCAGTAAATGTCATCGGTCTTTTGCGTCAAAGGCACGGCTGACTTTTCGGTAACAGACAGGGCGTCTCTCTTTTGGTGCCCTCTCCAGATTGTCGCTCCCCATTACCGTGTTTTAAAGTTCAAGAACGGCGCGGCGAGATCCCTGGAGATTCGGTAGAATCATCGATCAAATGTCGATTGGCACGCAACGAGTCTGGTGTGGTGAGATGTACCTTTGGTGACTAGACCAGTGAATATTCTCGAAACTTAAGAGATTTAACTAGACACTTGAGATGTACCCTTGGTGTATACAAGTGAATATTCCAGGAAATAAGAGATTTATTTAAAGTTGTGAGATGTAATGTACACTTGAGATTCGGTTGAGTCATCGATCAAATGTCGATCGGCACGCAACGAGTCGTGGGGTGCTCAGAGATTCACCTATAGGCTGGTGAGATGCACCCTTGGTGACTAGACCAGTGAATATTCTCGAAACTTAGAGATCAAACTAGACACGTGAGATGTACCCTTGGTGTAGACCAGTGAATATTATCGGAAATAAGGGATTAAACAAGACTGGTGAGATGTCAGTGAATATACCTGGAAATAAAGAGATGGTGAGGTGCACACTTAGTGTAGACCAGTAAAGTTTCCGGAGAAATAAACTAGACTGATGAGATGTACCCTTGGTGTAGACCAGCAAAGTTTCATGGAGATTAGAAATAAACTAGACTGGTGAGATGTACCCTTGGTGTAGACCAGTGCATCGTCCCGGAAATAAGTAGTGGAGCGTCCTCCTATGAGGTGGTGTATGGAGGAAGAAAGTGTGATTTGCTTCAGTGGAAGTGGCAAAGCGTGTCCGTGCTGAGAATGTTCGAGGTGTAGACCAGGGAACATTGCGGAAATAAGAAAATAGACTGGTGAGATGCATCCTGGTGTAGACCAGTGAATATTCCAGGAAATAAGAGATTCGTCTAGATTCGTGAGATGCACATTTGGTGTACACCAGTGGATATTCCTGGAAATAAGGTCGTTAAAATACTGCCAGATGGACAGTTTGATGTCCTTGCTTACACGATGTTTTATGATGATAGCATGTTCACGACTTTGTTTCTGTACGCCACTTGTTCTGCACATTGAAAAAAATAAAAATCAATAGTAAAGTTACACAAAACAAACTGGAAGAAAATACGATCCGGGGATTCACTACATTAGCTGGTGTGTTACGCCGAATGGCGGTTATACCGGCTATACAGATACAGATACATTCTTCTACATGCATCAACGTTCTGTTCTATATTTACGTAATAAAGTTTGTGAAGGATTTTCTCAATTTTATATAGGGGAGAGGAAATCTACTGACGAAACTTTTGACGTCTTAACTTCTCACAGCGCACGCAACTCCTCTGAGGCTTTACGCCGTAATCACATGATAATCTGATTAAAGATTAATTTTCATTTCAACACAGGAAACATAATTCACCGCACAGGAAACATAATTCAACCGCTGTACCGACAATAAGTCTTCATCGGGTTCTAATCTGCTTAGGTCCCCATAACAAGATTCACATTTAATACGATACAGGTGGTGGGAAGTGTTTGCATTTCGAGACAAGCATAAATCATAACACTGTTTGCATTTCTACCAGACACAAGCATACATGGCACAAATGAGAAGTGGAAAAAAAGGGAAAAAACGAGTAATATAGTCTTGCTGTATTGTACACATTAATTATACTAAGAGAAAGAATAAGAAACAACAGAAGAAAACATCAGCTAGCTAGCTATGTAAATACCTGTCCTTGAACTAAAAACAATGGTGAGTGAATAAATTGAAACTGCTGACATAAAATAGAATTACGAGTCAAGAGTCAACCACGAGTCATGAGTTAACTTTGTCATCGAAGACGAAGGTCAAATAAAGATCAATTTTCCTTTTTTGTCATGCCATAAGTGCCCGTCAACAACCACAAGAATGCTGAAATGATATATTTACGATTAATTAATTAATCTATTTATAGAGTGTCAGCAAATACAAGGTTGACCCTCCCCAAATCAAGACTAGATGTGTCAAATTTCCTCCAACCTTTGCACCAGCAAAGTCACATGTTAACAACCCCTGATAAAACTTTGACAGTATCGTCAGCGAATTTGGTCAAATGTGAAAACTAAACACCAATAACCGAACAGGGAGCCTGACCTAAGTAACTCTTTCAAAAACTTTCACACCATGAGCCAGCAACTTTGTGAGAAATAATCTCATGATCCGAGTTATAAAACTTTATTTATTGCTCATCATTTTACAAATGTACAACAGCAGGGGGAGCAGAAGCGCATCCCCCTGAATTAGGCACAATTTGTCACATTATTTGAAAAACAGCGTTCACATTGAAGAATAATACATCTAAACTAACATATATAACGTTACAAAAGACACATATAAAAATTACTTACAACAGTTGCGCACTCGGGGTAGAAAAGGCGAGGCATCGACCATGTACCAGAGGATGCATATCTGGAAAGGAGATAACAGAAAGAGGGATTGTCTCTATCACAGCCCACACAGCACCTCCGAGCCAGGAATTTGTCATTTGCTCGAACTTGACCTTGGGATCTGCCTAAGGTTAGGAATGCCCCCCTCCCCCACGTAGACATATGGTGACAATCCTGATCTTCAGACACAGAGTTATTTACAGAATAGAAACATAAAGGAGTGAAAAGTGGGTATTGCGGACAAGGGAATAAGTCAAATTATGGATATAAATCTATTTGAAGCCTGAATCAAGAATGCCCCATACCCATGTAGTATAGGTTGACCATCGTGATCTTCAGAGACAGAGAGTTATTTACAGGAAAATGTGAGAATAGAAACACAAAGGACTGAAAAGTGGGGATTGCGGACAGACAATAAGTCAAATTATGGATATCAATCTGTTTTGAAGTTTGACTCAATGAAATGATTTAGTTAACTCAGCATTTTACTTATTATGCCATTTGTAAAACCAACGTTGGGCTTGAATGTTCATGTTCTTTCACCAATGCATCTTATGCGCTATCTGCATGGAAAGATACAGAGATGGACGAGTGGGGACTGGAGGCAAAGAGATTAGTCTGATAGACAATTCAGCAGTTTTTGTTAAAGTGTGTGAGTCATCTGTAAAAAAGCAATTGCTGGAAGCGGTGATGTTCTTTACCAGTGGTATTTGTAGCCACGGGGTAAGGCTATTCGTTAACTTGACGTTTAACGTTACTTTTGGGACAAGTGCAGCGAACTGAAATCTGTTTTTCGCCACCCGACGAACGTTTGAGCGATCACCTGTAACAGTTTGTACATCATAGTTTTCATTTGTCAGCGAAAATGGTACCTTTGAGTATAAACCTTCCACATACGCAACTAACAGTTTAGCTTTATGGCATGAATTACCTTTATGTTCATGCGAATGTTACAACTGCTGAAACTTCGATACTCCTAATATTTGGAGTCGGAATACTGAGGCCAAATCGAAATCTGCATTCGCTTTTACTAGCACACTAACAAAAGCTACATTACATCTTGCGTTGAAGGTAATTTGGCAGCTGAATATGTAAGTATTAATTGTAAAACGTACGCCATCTGAAATCGATTTTTCCCAATGCACGTTACAGACCGAGCTTCATGGTATGCTAAGCAAAGAAAATGCCAGAGAATTTTTCAAAAGGGCCCAAGATCCCCTCTGCTATATATTATTTCTGCAATAAAACAGGATGTGTAAAAGGCACCATTGTCAACTTTAAATGTCAGAAATATAATGTCGACTTGAAGTATTAGTTACATAACAAGTAAAGCCCCTGCCACACATACGAGGTACATGTACCTTCAAGTTGGCAATCCCTGTGGCATATTTGCCTCCACTTAATAATTGCATGTGGCATAAAATACATTGACTGGTATTATAATAAGTAAAAGGTCAAATGTTAAGGTAATACTTAACTCCACACAATTGGAGGAAGAGAAAGAATTGTCAGCATTTACCATATATGATCACAACAATAAAACCAAATATTGCTCCAAGTACAAACATTTTTGTCGTATTCCAATCGGTTTTTGTACTATCTTGGCATGTCAGACCTGCCAGTCTTTTGATATATTTGTTCACTTGTTCATCGATTAATTATTGTTTTGAATTTCCATATATATGTTAATTCGTGCTTTGCTTGTTTTTTAGATTATTGTAGATAGATGTATTGTCTTATGTGTAGGCGGCGTCATGAATATAAGTGTAACTTGAGTCCCCATGTTTTGTCAATACATGTTTCAATCAATACAAAAAAATCTGGAGAGAAATATAGAGTCCTTTAATGGGATGCCAAAGACAAATAGAGCACGGGTCACATGTTGAGCCCTGAGGCAAATGCCCTGTGTCGTTCTGCCGCCACCAGCTAAAATCAATGCCTTAATGTAATCCTTTTTTTGCAAGGGAAGCAATCCATGCTGGGTCCGTCAACAGGCTGAAAGGGAGAACTGTGTGGTCCTGGTGTCCACAATAGGGATTACTGAGGGAATCCTTTAATTTAGGACAACTCAAAGTTATTCAACACAAGCTTTTAGTGGATACAGCTCGTAATTTGGGAGTACTGTACATTTTGTCATCGCCGCATTCTGTTTGCCTGTAGGCTCGGTGAGTGCCGGAGGTCAGAGATGGGGATGTCCACGGCAGTTCCACGGTTTGGTACGCGGCTTCTGCAGACGGCCCTGGTCCTGGCTGTCTTCGGTAACCTTCTGGTCGTGGCTGCAGCAGTTCCTGCAAGGATCCGGATTGGTGAGTTTGTAGTGTTTTCATACAGATAACCTTTATTGTGCATTCATGCCCTATCTGGCCAAGTACAGGTGAACAGATGAAAAGGTATGAATATACATGTTTGTAGTACAAACAGGACTACTGATACTAATCTAACTACATCAAAACTAAAATTACTCTAATACAGAGGATCGGCTTCTTCTAGTTTCTTAGTGATGTTAAAAATATAATTGTTTAGTACGGATTGGTAACTTTGTATTCTCATGTCCGTAGCCAGGCCCGTAGCCAGGAGCCCCCTAAAAGGCTCAAATGTCCACTTTTTATCTAAAGGTCCAAGATTATAAGATTTTTCTTTAAAAGATGGACTGATTCGTAACACCAGGGGGCTGTAATCATGGAAAAACTGCTCACTTTGTTATTGAATAAAAAGTTATGCCTGATTCCCTCAAAAACGCAGGAAATGCCATTTCAGAAGGTTCAATTTTCACAATTTTCCAGTGGGAAGAACCCACCTTCAAAATCTTGGCTACGGGCATGATTCTTTTAATAAAGATTGCCAGATTGTTTGACAACTTACATGTATGCGTTTAATATATGGCCTAAGGCTAATCTCCAAGCGGATCTTTCGGTTTCTGCGAAGACAATACCATACTAGCCAGGCAGTATCCACCAGCCGGGTGACCAATGAATACTCTCTGGTCAATGGATACTGCCTGGCCAAATTCTCGGACTACAAAAAATATCCAGAACCGTGCACTGAACACAATAGATACTTAGACCACTAATTCTCAGGGCTCAGGGCTCAATTAATCTCACCGTTTTCGTCATCATGATATTCAGTTTGAAGGGATAACGACACTTCACTGAAACCCTATTCTGCCGACCGTAGAGAACTATGCCAAGTGAATACCTATAGCTAGACACTAGCTTAGACATACTAGTATGCTCTTGCCCTAACTACATTTGTCTATAAAACTGACGGAATAGTCAGAAGTTTCATCGATCGTGAGGATGATTTTTGTCCTTCAAATAACAGAAGAATGGCTCTTGGCAGCGGTTTGAAGTTTGGCGTCTGGCGCAGCTGGTCTCTGGGCGCATCAGCCTTAGTATTGAGTGTGGAAATAATGGTGATACTTCACTGCAGAAATTCAGAGTTGGCACGAGAACCTACTGCAGCCGTAGGACAAAAGGGCGCAGAGGTCACCTTGTTCATAACCACAGTAAATGTGTGCCTCTGGATTCTTTATTGCTGCTGTTTAACGGATACATCAAATCGTGTTATGAGTGATTTTACTTCTTGTTGGCTGCGGGTACTTTACTTCAAAACAAAGAGATAGATTGTCTAAACTCTACAGAGATAGAGGACTACATAGATTCTTAAGTACAGTCTAACCTACACTTGGAATTGCCTTTACATAAGGACCAGTTGGTCATTGATATACAGTCAAACATAGTGGCTACCTCTACATAAGGACCACCGGCCATTGTTGTTACTTTTTGGTAGTGCTTAGATTATTTTTTCCCATTAGCTCCAGTTCCGGTATTAAGAATCCTGTCTATGGCGACTAAAATTTGCTCAAAAAGAAAATACTCAATTTTAGTTCTAGTTTTACGTCCACTGGGAAGTAAATTTACATATTTGACAAAGTCTGTTTGTGACGTCACATACTTTATAGATAGCCACCGCCATGTTGGTGGGGTAGATGAATCCAAGATGGCGTCTAGGCAGTCGAACGATTGGCCTGAAAAAGAATTTATTCGTATTCGGGTGCTGTCTGCCTATCATTTGTTGAAAGCATGGATGCTCAGGTGAAAAGGACTTGATAAAACTATTTGGAACGACGCTCACGTAATGTCTTTGCTTTCGTGTTTAACTCACCGACCTTGCCTACGACTAAATATGCTAGTCACGTGATGTGGAACACCCTATTCATCTTTGCTTTGATGAACAGAATGAATTGTGGGATCGACGTTCAAGCCTCTCTGTTTAGCGACTGCCGCGGCGTCGTATCGACGATAATGGTCGGGTCCTTAATGGCCATTTTATGTAGTTAGCTCGATAGTCAGATACCGTAACAAGATTTAGCGCAAGAAAATCCCTGGATTCTGCAGGGACAGCACATTCCATAATGGCGCCGCTTATCTATTATTTAGCGACATCTGTCACAAGCCGCCGGGAGCCTCGTATGTTATGTGACATCAAGATATTTACAGGTGGCCATGACAGCAAGAAGGAAATATAAGAAGGTGGATCGAGCAGGTACAGGTCACCAACGATGTCATCAATAAATGTGTTTTAATCCACCTCGCAACACAAATGTGGGGTCCTGTAGCGTAACGGCAGAGCATTCGGCTCAGAACCAAGAGGTCCCCGGTTCGAATCCTGCCCTGTCACCAATTTAACCTGTACCCTTGGGAAAGGTACTTTACACGACTTTCCTCGCTTCGTTTAGGTGTTAATGAGTATGCTGAATGCTGAATGTCAATTCAGAAAGAGCATTATCATGATAGTCGGCATCGGAACAAAAACAAGTACTTTATCATAGAAAGTTGTCAAAAGTAATAATTATATTTATGGGGATGCAATATTTGCCTACTCTGTTGTAATGGAAAATAGCCCGTAGGGACAGTCAGAAAACATTATAATCTTCCCTTCTAATATATTGGCCTGCACGTTTAATTAAGCGGAGGGGTGTACACATGTAATTCCAATTAAGCACTCATCTTGAGATAATTGCTGTACATGAAGTATGTACCATCAGACTTGCAGTTAGAGTTTATAGCCATAGATATGATGCTGCCGAAGTACTGGTGCTACCTTGCCTAAGTACTGGTGTACTAAGTACGTTAGGCCCTGTCAGAATATGGCCTCCTGAAAACTGCCAAACTCCCTCAAACCATGGTTAGAAGTAGGTCGGGAGCAAGGTCGGCTGTGGTTGGCTGGTGTTCGACGGCGCCAGCCGAATGTTTCAAAATTTCACCATTTATTACAAGACATGGCGACGGCACACTCAAGTTTTTCAACTTATTGTTATGACGCTACCAATGCAGATAAACGCTTGAACAGACAACATACTCATTTTCACCGGAGAGAAGTGAGGAAATGCGTGTAAAGTGCCTTTCCCAAGGGCACACAATCGGTGGCATGGCAGGATTCGAACTCGAGACCTCTTGGTTCCGAGTCGAACGCTCTGTCGTTACGCCACACGACCGCAACGCCACCGTTATGCATTCAGAAGAGTGACTAACGACAACCATGCGGACCTAGATATCTTGCTTTTTTGGCCCTTCTTGTTTGTTTTTCTTTGCGCTCTCACATTAGATTTAGGGTCTCCAGAGGACGTTATCCACAGAAAATAGTTAATGTGGTTTGTTTTGCATTCAGAAGAGTGACTAACGACAACCATGCGGACCGGTGATATCGGCATCAGCTGTGGGCAGATACGGGTCTGCACCCGCAAACGAGCATATGTCGGCAGTTAGATCGAATTCGTGCCGCCTTCTAATGGCGCTGAGAACAACCAGCGTAATCCGCCAAGATAATCAAACAAAGCAACGGTCTCGTTATGTGCGATTAGAAGCCGCCATTAGAACCATGTACTCACGGCTCGGCCTCGACCACAAGATTAGTCGTTGGTCTTCTGACTATCACGTTACTTGTAGGGGTTGTTGTCTGTCATATATGTAGTTCCTGTCGTAAACTACAGTAAATTGTTGCACATTGAAGCTACACGTTATAACGATAAAGAATCTACCCAAGTTACCTGTAAAACTTGAGGTATATACTGGCATAAATGGCCCCAAACTGTCGATTTTCTTTCTATTCTTTCTTTCTTTATTCATGACACCAGAAAGCAAACCTGACAGCAGGGATACCACTCCTTGGATTGCAAAGAGTTTGCGTACAAAATTACAAATTACAACGGATAAGACAGTTATGTACATACCTCATATACATTATAATACATTATTTTGTACCAAGCAAACCTTCTGACTTTAATACAGATGAGGTTAGGGAAATATAAAGCTAGTGATATGACAGTTCTTTGTAGTACAGGGCTATGACTGTTGTAGCCGTTTCGTTCTTGCCCTGGAAACACTTGTTGTCTGTCATATGTATTTTCTGTCTTAGAATATTGTTACACGTTGAAGCTATACGTTAAAGAATCCACCCAAGTTGCCTGTAAAACTTGAGGTATATACTGGTATAAAATGGCCCAAAACTATTGATTTTGAACTAGCCTTTGGCAGCAGACGGTCTTAGATTAGCAGACTTGGCATCATGTCAACAGATGCCTTGGCATATATATATATACATGCAGTTATATATATAAATAGGGCACTTGCGACATAAGACCATCAACATAAAACACCAAAGAGTGTCATCTTCATTTTTTGCCATGAAAATGTGTCAATGTCATGTATTTTTTTATTTTTTTTATGTTCTTTGAATTTTTGAGAAATTGTAATTTTTTGTAAATAAACAAAATTAATTTTCATTTTTTTCAATGCCTTGTATTATTGTTGGGTGAACAATGAAATTACTTTGTTCCCTAGGGAATCAATGCAATAGCATAGATATTATGTGTCAGAGATGGTAGTGGCCTGGGTTATGACCCTTGACTTGGTGTCTCAAGCCCAGGTATACCAACGACCCATCAGGGATCTGGCTATCCGTCAACCGGTATCTTTTGGCAATCATCCAAGCTGTGGGATAAGGCCACACCAAGTAATTTGTATGGATGACGTCCTCTGGAGACCCTAAATCTAATGCGAGAGCGCGAAAAAAAATCAAGAAGGGTCGAAAACAAGATGCTACCTAGATTTGAATATACTAAGGGACGACAAGTGTTAGAACACAAATTGAATGAGATAACAGGGTAACAACCACGTTTTGTTCGTTATGAAAACAGCAATACATAAGTGAAACAGTTGTCGTCCTTTCCTATTTCTTTCCACCTCACATTTTGCAATATTGCGATTTGTGGCACTGTCGTTACTCTTTAGTCATAGTTAATGGAAGCGGAATTTCGTGTTTTTTTCTAGGAATAGGCCAAAATCAATGCGGGCGCGGACGTCATCCATAAAAATTACTCGGTGTGGGCTTTCCAGAGCAGTAAAACTCACGTTACCCTGGTGATGACGTTGGAACCATTACAAGCAATCCACGGTACTACAGAGCTCTAAAAGCAATCGAACACGAGATCATCATCCGAAGCAAGTAGAGAAGCAGGATAAGATATATACTAATGGCTAGTTTCAACGGGTGCTACTGTGGATACTAAGAACGTAAAGTTTCTCCATAACGTTTCTCCATAAAGTTTTGAACACGAGATCAGCATTCGAAGCACGTAGAGGATCAGGACAAGATATACTAGTATTCTAATGGCTAGTTTCAACGGGTGCTACTGTGGATACTAGGAACGTAAAGGTTTCTCCATAACATTTCTCCATAACGTTTCGAACACGAGATCATCATCCCAAGCTAGTAGAGAAAAAGGACAAGATATACTAGTATTCTAATGGTTAGTGTCAACGGGCGCCACTGTGGATACTAGGAACGTAAAAGTTTCTTCATAAAGTTTTGAACACGAGATCAGCATTCGAAGTATGTAGAAGATCAGGACAAGATATACTAGTATTCTAATAGCTAGTTTCAACGGGCGCCACTGTAAATTCTAGGAAGGTAAAGTTTCACCATCAGACTCGTCTGACAGTTGGATGGATGGTATGAACTGGCAGCAGTAGTTTTGGGTGATATGCAAGGGGAGTTGGCTTAACAGAGATGTGTCTATTGCAGACTAAAGCGGGCAATATTAATCAGACCCTTGGCGAACATTGCGAATTTTGGAATGTCAATTGTCCTCTGTAGAATTAGAATCGTCTGGCACCTGAATATATCGACTTCTTTGGTCGTAATAGTGTAGATGGTTTGTTTGGCGAGTTTGTTAAATATTATTTCTAGTCTCCAGCAGACTCTTTTTCAGGCTGAATAAGTAGTAGAAATCGACCTAAAAAGAATATAGCAAGCCAGGGACAGGAGTTGGCCGGCCATAGAAGGTCCAGTTTGCCGATGTCTACTATTTATTCAGCCTGCAAAATAGTCTGGTGGAGACTCTATGTATGGTTAAGAATCTATGCAGGCAAACTGGACTCTATATGGCCGGCCAACTCTCCTGGCCAGCTACATTCTTTTTAAGCCTGGTGGAGACTAGCATATTTCCAGGTGGTCCCTAGACCGTGGTATTCGTCTGTTGCTACAAAAAAACGTTGCTGTCAAATCATTAATCATGCAATGGCCAATTTTAACTTAGTAGGACTAAGGATGAGCGATGATAATGAGTAGGGCCAATAGGGAGTCTAGTGGTAATCTTGTTATGGTCCTTTAAAATGGTTTCCCGCGAGACCGGCAATAATTTGACTGACATGTACAAACAAATTACACACAGACACCCTTCGGGAGTTGTTAAGGTAATTGGCAGAAAGTTTGAGAATTGCAGTTGTCGACCTTTGAAGGGGCACGATCTAAAGCTGCGATGTTCGCTTGCATCATTGACAGTTATGAATGGAGTTAATGGTCCGAGGCTCAAATGTACATTTCAGAAAGCACGAGGAAGGTCGTTTCTCAACAGTCATAGAGGCGTGTATAATAGATGAGGCTGAGACACCCAAACTGTATTCTTTGGGTAACATTGTCGGGAGATAGAACATCAGGTGCAAGCAATTCTCAAACACTCATTATACACACGGTATTCTTTGCTACGAAAAACCCACTAAAATGTTTCCGTTAGATCTGGAAAAGGCTTACTGTGTTAAACAGCTGGGCATGAGAGCACTGCCACTGTTTATTATTTATTATTTATTTTATACAATGTATTTCTATCTTGTAGTTTGTAATTGACTGAATTGTTATTCATGAAACCTACTAGGCAGTTACTACAATCTAAGTTGGTCTGGAGTAAAAAAAAAAACCAGATGAGTACAAAAAAAGCAAAGGCGAAAAAAAGGCCTGATATGCGTCAAAAATAAGCTTGGAGAGTTAGTTATAATTCCAAATCGATACCCACCCGGATGTTATTCATAAAACCTGCTAGGCAGTTACTATTTTCCACCCAAAGTTTGGCTGGCGTAAAAAAATACCAGTACAAACAAAGAACGATAAAAACGCCTGAAATGCGTCAAAAATAAGCTTGGAGAGAATTAGTTACAGTTCCAAATCGATTTGCGTCCGGATGTTATTCATGAAATCAAATTCTTGTGCCCAAACAAACCTGCAAAGGTCCATATGCCCCAGGAATAAACGAATCACTACCGATGATTGCCGTGATTGGGGCAGCTGGGGGAATGTTGACCCGCGACCCTTATTGATTCAATTGAAGTGGGACAATTGGGAGGTGCGACTGGCATTAATCAATTTGCTCACGGTTCTGTAAAAACAGGATTGTGTTGACCGAGGAACCGTAATGTAGAAACTTTCTTAGCACCACTTAATAAGTCTCATACAGTTGGCTTACTACCAGTTATTGTAAAGACTGTACTTCAGCAGTGGCAAAAGTCACAGCATAACATATTATTATATTTACAGTGGGGTCTTTTGCACTGTTTTTTTCATCCAAAATATAATGTATTAAAAATATAAGTTAGAAAACCTGCCATAATGGTTTTTTGTTTAGGACGAATAACTTCCATTTTCGCCAGGCAACTATAGGTGGTTTCACAATAGTGGTGTAAAAATAACAATACGCAGCACTTGGCAATATAGTGTTTGGATTGGTGTATTTAGATCTCCATTAGTGAATACATTTTCCACTATTCTTCCAATTAAACCATACAAAATATAACAACGGAATATAATAAAGTAATACAACAGAATTAACAGAAGACTAATATAAACTGAACTGAAAATCACAGTGTTTCTGTCGTTTTAGGTGGAATATTCACCCATGAGAACAAGATGGAAGAAGAGGCCTTCAAGTTTGCAGTGATGTATGTAAATGAGATGATGCCCGAACTGCTGCCAAGAACCCGGATTGATTACGTCATCAACAGCACCGTACTTCTGCCAGAATTCGTCGGAATACAAGCAGGTAAAATAACAACAAGACTGGCAATGAAAACATACATTACCATCGCGACGGTGGTTGCTGTTAGGGTTATTGTTTGCATGGCACTGCCATCGTTTCATGATTTTGAGCAAGACAGATACAGTGCACTCCTCCCCCGAGTGTATAGTGAACGAGCCCCGGGGTCACTGTCCATCCGTGGCCGACAGGTCTTCTTCTGGGTCTTCCCAAGGGTTTCCAGGAATGTGGGCATAGATGTGGGTCAGGGAAATGCCTGTGGACATTCCATTCCTGTGGACAAAATGCCTGTACCATTCCTAGAATTCTTGCAAACTGCACAGAATACTGTACCATTAGGCGTCGCCAAAAATAAAAATAGAATTACGCTGCGTACCACGATAGGCTATAATGTAATATTTTATGTGTCTGTCGTTTTTATGATTTCCCACAAATGACAGTCATTTACGGCGTATATAGTCAGTTTACCACCCACAAACGTATAGACAGACATATAAAAATAACAGTTACAGATGCAATAAAAAGTTGATTGAAAAATCAAAGTATGAATGCTATAAATTTGAACATGAATACATCAATATATCATGGTTTCTTTCCAAGTTTTCCTAAAATCATTTGAAAAATAATCCCCAAAACATTTGACTGGCCCCTCTGTTGTCCACACTTGGCTGTTGTCCACCTTTTGTTGCTTGACTAAATGTAATCATGTTTTGTCCTGTGTAAATGTATGCTGGGCTCCATTGGAAAGCAGATAAATAGGCTACCCAGCCGTTTTATGATGAAATAGATAACTAAATAAACATGTCCAAATCCCTTGTCTTGTGAACAGTCTGTCACCAGGCTCGCTCCGGAGTGGTCGCCATTATCGGTCCAGGAACTTCTTCCGGGGTAAAGTTCAGCGACGCCGTGTGTTCCGGTCTGCACATCCCGCACATCGCGCCCATTGCCACTGATCCAACCCTTGGTGAGGACAAAATATTTTCCTGAAAAATAAAATTTTTTTTCCTGTAAAATTCGAAAAAATATTTTACTTTAAATATATTTTCCTAATAAATTAAAATATTCCAAGGTTTAAGCCTCTCTACATTTTTGATGATCGAATAGTTAAGTTCTTTATTCTCAACAATGTATGTTACATGAGACAACGTTTCGATGACCGTCTGTTATCTTAACCCTTTAGCTGCCAGTGTTTCTCACCAATACATCCCCTCTGTGCCAGGGTTTCCAGACCCTTTTGAAATAGGGGGTACTACCTTTGTATTACTGTCTTTTTGTCATTTTCCCCTCAACTTACCATATCATGCCAGATATCATTGGAAAGCTAAGAATGTGTACTTTACAGAAAAATATTTCAAATGTAGCCTGACATCAATAGTAATGAATTACAAGGGCAATAATGCAATAAAATAGCTGTTTTCATAGTTTTTTTGTATTACAATGCCTAAACTATATAAAAAGTATAAGTATGAAACCTATAACATTCCTGACATGTCCTGACACTATGAGAATCACATACACGTAAAATACAGCACTCAGGTGTCACTACAGGTAAGTTTATGATCAGATATTGTCCTAGGTGCTGAACTGACTATTCAGCTAAAACACTGATCCATTACAACATATTTCACTTCTTTCTGTACCCTTATAAAAGATGGTACATAGACTTGTTATATATCATAGCATATAGTAAATACTATACTATAACTAGAAATGTATATCAACTTGATAACATAGACTACAAGGGTCATAAACAGGTAAAGAGGCAATAAAATGCACAACTTTCACCTTGTTTCCATACAATCAACAATAAGCAACCACAGAATGACTTGGGCCTTGACTTAACAGATCCTGACATGTCCTGACACTATGAGAATCACATAGACGTAATCATACAGCACTCAGGTATCATTACAGGTAAGTTTATGATGGGTATTGTCCTAGGTGCTGAACTGACTATTCAGCTAAGACACTGATTCATTACAACATATTACACTTCTTTCTGTACATTTATAAAAATGGTACATAGAGTTGTTACATACCATATGGAAGCTTATAGTAGAGTCGGGAATGTATGTCAACTTGATAACATAGACCATAAGGGTCATAAACAGGTAAAAAGCAATAAAATGTACAATTTCCACCTTGTTTCCATACAATCAACAATAAGCAACCACAGAATGACTTGGGCCTTGACTTAACAGATCCTGACATGTCCTGACACTATTAGAACTACATACAAGTAAAAATACAGCACTCAGGTATCATTACAGGTAAGTTTATGATGGATATTGTCCTTGGTGCTGAACCAACTAATGTATACAACATAATACATTCCTTCCTGTACCTATGTGATCGATGGTATATATACTTGTTACATATCATATGAAAGCTTATTGTATATACTATGTCTAGGAATATATTTCAACTTGACAATATAAACTACAAAGGCAATAAACAGGTAAAAAGCAATAAAAAGATAATATTATACTTTATACCATGGAAAATTTTACATAAAAGCTGCTATAAAATAGAAATAAAACTTGCCACTAAATCCACTTTGTGCAGTGAAAACATGGGGAGACTTGGTCAGGCTGTTTCCATCCCCCCTCTGCCAGTTTGTGCCATCAAATCTTGTATCAGTTGCAGCTTGATGGGCGGCTCCGGGATTTAAATCCCCATCAGCTGGCCGGCTGCAACCTCGCCTGTCAGTGCCACGTTCCCTTGTTGTTTGGCCTTTTCCACACCCCCGACCTCGGCCCCGACCTCTACCCCTAGCACGACCACGGCCATTAGTAGTTCCATGGCCGATGTCACATTCACCAATGCTATCTGGTTCCATGTGAGCACATTCCCTCCCGTCTGCTAACACGATCCGTCTCATTTTCACTACTCTCAATGGAATCAGCGTCAGATATACGTCAACCATAGGCTAAATCAACAGTAGCGACCTCCTACAACAGTTCTTTGAGGGTAAACGTCGTCATTTTGGTGTTAACAGTCCAAATTCACCGCCCAAAACACGTAAACAAAAGAACAAAGCCTCGGCAGACGACGACGCCGCCATCTTGGCAATTATAGGCCGCAAAGCATTGTGGGATGACGTAATCGGTGATTACGCAACCCAATTTGACCTCTGACCTGCCCTCACTTACCGCCGCCAGTCACTTCCTGGTCGGCGGGCGCGAAACATGCAGCTGTGCTAAGTTATCCCGGGTAATACCCTATCCCGAATATACCCGGGCATGGCACACAGGGGATGTATAGTGAACCCGGATATACCCGGGACCGGCAGCTTAAGGGTTAACTTAAGTAGGGCTAATTTACACTTTGGACTGCATTTTTACAGTAACACCTAGCTTCAGTCCATGTTAAAAATGACAGATGGTCATCGAAGTGTCGTAACGTGTAAAACAAATGGTTGTGAGTAAAAGAACTTTACTATTCAATCATACCAACCTGATGAAATTGTTTACAAAGTTTGATGGTCATTGGGCGGAGATTATGTATTTTTTTTACCTCTATTTTCAGCCAACCGAGAGTTTTTCCCGTATCTACTCCGAATGTCTGCCCCGGACTCGGTGCAGAGTCGGGCTCTCGTAGACCTGGTGACGCACTTCGGCTGGACACACATGGCAATACTCACTTCAAGCGATGATTATGGTAAATGTCATTTGTACTGTCAAACTGTCCGTCCAAATTAGATCTAGAACTAAATGACTGAAGGTTAAGAAGCATCGTAATACAAGATAATCATTTTAGCATTCAGCATAATTAGCAGATATGCATTTTTGGTGGACGCCTATGGCAATGTTCACTTCAAGTGTTGATTATGGTAAATGTCATTTGAACTGTCAAACTGTCTAAATTACATCTAGAAACTAAGTGACTGATCAAAGGTTAAGAAGCATCGTAATGCAAGATAATCATTTTTAGCATTTAGCATAATTAGCAGATATGCATTTTTGGTCGATGACATCGATTATATTAGTTTGCTGGCTTTCGTACAGGACTTCATCTTCAATCTTCCTCAGGTTTGGATGACCAGTTTGTTAAGTCACGTGACGAAAGCTATCGGTTTCTTTTTATGTTTACCGAAGGAAAAGATATTGTTTTTGCTCAGTTTTTTCTCTTCTTCTTCTTCTTCTATATCACTTTCAAACAAATAAGGTCAATCACCAGGACCAGACGTCTGTCACCATTGTGTTCGGTTACATAATGTTGCAAGTTCACTTCTTCTGGCAGCTGGTCGCCATAAAATGTGTTTGAGTAAAAATAAACAAAGCAAGAATTTCTTCTTAAGCTGGGCCATGTGATGCATTTGCTTTGCAAGTGTTATCTTTCTAGTTTTCTTCTTCCTTAGGTATTCACGGTTTAGTGGAATTCCAAGCTATTGCAGCCCGAAAGAAGTGGGACATTGTGAGTGTCCAGCAGTTCCAGACCGGAAACGACATCAGCATCGTCAACGCGACGTCACAGCTGAAATACATCGTCGGAACAGGTATTTGTCTCTTTCCATCACAATGTCCATTTTGTCAAGGAATTAATAGCATAGCGGCTGTGCAGATATGGATACACAGAATAAAATTTTTAGTGATCGGTTTATTAGGCGGTCTAGATCTGTGCAACCAGGATTTCAATAAAAACACTGCTACTGATTATGATTATCTTCGCAGACCATAAACCCATTGTTTTTGCTGTATTTCTTCCTCCTCTAAAGTCTTCCTGGCCAGACGGCTGTCACCGTGGTAACTGGTGCTGTAACAGACACCCTGTGGTCTTGGCTTACATTATGTTGCAAGTTGTAGGATAGAGGTGGAGAGGCTGGTCATGTATTCAAGTAAGAATAAGCTAGGCTCATCCATGTGAAGGTAAATATTTTACATTTTCTTTGTACATTTTAACTTTTAGGTTTTTAATTTTTCGTAGGAGTCCGAGTGGTTATCTTGAACTGCCTGGCTCACCACGGTGTGCGAGTGTTGCAGCAGGCTGAACATCTGGGCATGACCCGCTCAGGATGGGCCTGGGTCGTCACGGACGGCGTCACTACTAAGGTGGGAAAACTCAAACAATCTGTCTCAAAAATGCTTTGGTCATGACGCATGCAATATTTGCCTTTTGCCTTAACAAACAGTCAGTAAGCATCTCCTTGATATATTGGTGTCATGTCATAATATTCAACCTCCCATCCGTGTAGCACTGAGTGGAATTTGATTTGGCGAACTATCATCATTATCATTATTATTATTAGTAGTAGTATTAGTAGTAGAGAATTATTTCAGCAGTGACAAGTTTATGAAGGGTAAGAGCACTAACCTCCAAAAATGACTTGTTCACCCGGTGGCCTAGTCTCGCGAGAGCACGAGACTAGTACCGAGACTGGCATCTGTCTGCTGGGCCCTGTTTTTTTTTTAATTTTTTTTAAATTTATTTCCAGAACACCAAGTACCTGACATCGCCAGTCCCCAGCTACCTGCAGGGCATCATCGGCACGGACCCGGACATCGCGCAGGGCTCCCTCCTGAGGGAAGTCCGCCAGGTCTGGGAGAACGCTGATCGAAGCCGGTTTCCACATGCTGGAAAATACGAGGTGGAGGTGAGAAAACAAACAAACAAACAAGCAAACAGGTAAAAGCGACAACAATGATTAATTTCTCAGTGGGTCTTACTTTAAGTCATTCGTAGGGCGCCGTAACAATCGTCGTAGACCGTCGTAGGATTTTGATGCCGAGGAATTTTCTTTGAAAATTCAGTCTTTGGCAGTCTGACTCATTTTCTTCTAATTGAAAATTATTCCGTCCCGGTTTTCAGATAATTTCTTAATTCTGAATTCTTAACATGATTTCACAATTTGGACAAAGTTGACAATACCGCCTTTCCATTTTTTGTGTAGTCGAATTATATTAAATTATTTTCAGTTTTTTTCTATCAAATTTACATAATTTAACTGTCACCTGTTAGTGGTATGACTGCTTCAACGTGAATATAGACGCCGAAGAGAGCCATTGATTTTTTGAATCCTTGAAACCATCCTTGAAATAACGGCACATCGTTTCCAGTTACCATGACATCGCGCGGGATTTAACGAGATTTGCTCATCGACCCTTCGTTCCGGCAATATCCTTGTATTGACGATAACCCTACATGCGTGACGTACAACGGCGTCATGTTCAATGTTGCAGTTGCCGTGCTCTTCACGAACTTGACCTTACCGAATCTGACAATCGCCATGGATGACCTACTTGTCAAGCAATTAAAGTCTTTTTCGCGTGGGTGGTCGTATAAAGGAGCCACAGTCGAATGACTATGCAGTTATCCGATAATGGCTTTGCAGGTTGAATAAACCATGAGATAAGTACGTGAAATAGATGCATATCTAGGCTACAACAAAGGGGGGGGGGGGCAAAGAGATGGCCTGTACATTTACGTCTATCTGTCTAGAATTTTTTTTGATTGAAACATTTATTGACAAAACATGGTGACGGTACACTCAAGTTATACTTATATTCATGCCGCCACCGACACATGAGACAATACATAACACATAGGGCAAGCAAAGCAAGAATCATAGTACATAGTACATAGTACATTGTTACATAGCAATTAAACGATGAACAAGTGACCAAATATTTCCAAAACCTGTTACTCAGAGGACAATACAATACAGTGAGGAAAGTTGTGCAAAGTGCCAAGGGCACAAGATCGGTGGCATGGCAGGGTTCTCTCCCGTTACGCCACACGACCCCACACAAATTGTCTGCATATTCAGTTTATTGCCCTGGGAATAGCCGGTAGAGGACTATCATTAAAGGCATCCAATGCAGCTTTTAGGGCCTGGAAACCCGATTTTTCAAAGCCAATATTCCATTCATTTATATACATACTGAGTTGAAACAACACTGTCCCAATGTATAGTGACCCTCATGGAGCAAAAATTCCCCAAATTCTGACGGAAAATTGTTACTGGAAGGGCCCTGGGCTGATTTTTAGGGTACCACCCAGAAAATAGGACTCATCTTCGGGCTTGTTTCTGCAGTTTTAAATATTCAGTGTATCAAATTCTGATTTAGATGTGCTAATGTGAAGCAGCATGTGTCAATGTCGCAAAGATTGCCTTATTCAGAATATTTCCAGTTTTTGCTGCCCTGAAATCGCATTGGATGACTTAAAGGCAATAGGGATCACCTGAAGAGCCGTGAACGATCGGCGCCTGAAGCAGGTGCAGCACCGGATAAATCACGCGAGACCCTACGAGATCCAGGTCACGTCATTATGGTTGATAAAGACGCATGGGTTAGACTACGAGCGCAGAGGCGTGTGGTATTTGCAAGGTACACTGCACGTAAACCTAGATTTACTAATGGTAGTAAGTACCAGTTAAGTTGTGTAATGCTTACTTTGTCTTTTTTATACACTGGACGTAATAATGGTAGTAAATAAAAGTCAAGTTTATGATTCCGGACTTTACAAGGGTTGTTTTTCGTATAAAACCGGTGCAATGGGCAAGTTGGTAGAGTATTGCCTTGCATTCGATTGGTCATGAGTTCGATCTCCGGCCGAGTCATACCAAAGAAATGGCACATACTGCTTTCTCTGCTTAGTACTCCACATTTGGGAAAGAGTATGGGAGTTGAACACACACCACTACCAGTGGACTAGCCCCCTGCTGTAGTGATTGCACTGCTGTGTGGCCTCAGGGCTACTGAAACGAAGATGGGCGCAGCCCTATGCCTCACTTGATATCAAAAGAAAAACTTTTTTAGTCTAACGTAAGAAAGCGAATAAATGTCACCAACTCGTGAAATTGGAAGAGCTACGGGACAACCAGTAATAACAGAATCCATTGATTTTTCACAGAGGTTCCTTATATCGATCCTTGTACCCTGGCGGGCTTAATCAATAAGGAGTAGAGACGCTGTTGATAGCTGGAAGAGTGGAATCTAGTTCGGGTAGTTCTGGGGTAATTGGCCTGGTCATTGACACCACTCGGCTGACTGGTCAGGCTACGGCTAATCTCGTGTCTGATGTCTATAACATCAAGAAGAGTGCAACTGGGTGCTTTTTAATGAGTGCCGTAAAAGTTTAAGGTAGCAAGCTTGTAATGTCGTTAGGGTTGTACATTTGAGATTTAAATGTTCTGGGTTTGAATCCCTAGAAAGCCCCAATGTTGTGACCATGTGAAAGGTACTTTACACCTATTTCCACACTCTATGTCGCTACCCATCCATACTATACAGCCTCTTGTGTAATTACCTCTCTTGATTGCTCTGAATAACATCAAGCAGCTTACTCTTGGACACCATTATTTTCCTTCGGTAAACATAAAAAAACTTGAGTGTGTCGTCACCACGTCTTGTGATTACATGTTGGAATATATAAAATATTCCAGTCATTAAACACGTAACGTTAATGCTTTTGCTTGAGTTCCTATTATCAATGTGAATATCGGTTTGCTGGTGTGGCTGTGAAATTTGACTCAAATTTAACTTTAAGATCGATTTGTGTACAAAGATAGATCTGGCCAGACTTCTCACGAGCTTCAGCCACCCTTGGTCGGCTGGTGGTTTGGGGAAGGTTCTGAATGTGTTTATATACAGGGGCTTAACCAAATCACGCGTCTCTTTTCAGTCCAACTTCGGTCAGTTCTTCGACGCAGTGCTGGCCATCGCCCACGCTCTGGACAATATATTCCGGGACGGTCACCACATTGAGGAAGAGAAGCTGGAGTGTTGTGAAGAGAAGCGGCCCTGGAAGTACGGCAAACTGGTGTTGGACTATCTCAAACAGGTAAGGCGGTTTCTCCCACCAGCTTATACTGTTGTCCTAGATCCTGAGCAACTATACAGCTATTGAATGGAATATAGGAGGTATCCAAGCTGCAAGGATCACTCACAGAGCTGCATTAGTACAACGCTGACGTCTGCATGCCTCAAGGTTTGGTTCTGGCACCCACTTTATCAGAACACAGACGGAATACAGTACAAAAATGTTGGCATTACTACTGTTTGTTAACAGGTTGAAGAGGACGGTGTGATGCGGCGACTGCGATTTTCCGGACACGGCCACCCGAACAACCCGAGTTATGGTATCATGAACCTACTGTGCAGTGGCTGGAAGAAGGTACAGCAATACTGGCTTAGTCTGCAGGGGATTAAGTGTCCATTTAAGTTTCCTACCTTGCTTGCCTCCTTCTTTCCTTCTATTTCTTTCCTTCCTTCCACCCTTCCTTTCTTCCTTCTACAAAATACATAAGATCACGTACAAAAATGACAATTATTGATAACGTTCGGGAGCGGTTTAACCACATTTACGACACTCCTACCCTTCAGATTTTTCTTACTGCAATAAATTAATACTTCTAAAAATATCTACTATAAATTGTAACTGCCTAGTTTTGGGGCACCATTGATAGAAAACGACAGTTAAAGCAGAATTTGCCAGAATTTACATTCACGAACACTGCACTTTTTATCCCGCTTAGGGCAGTGCAGTAAACCATCTGCAATAAAAGGCTTATCCACATCTTACACATCACTTCTTCGGGCGGGGGTGTATTAATCCCTGGCTCTGTTTCACGTTAAAACTTGAAGAATAAGTCGTACTTAAGGACATAGAAATCCGTCTTAATGAGTGCTGTACTGACAGGAAAAGACATTAATGGAAGTCTTAATCCTTTGAAGGTGGATTTGATGTGTGCTGTTCACTTCATGATAAGGGGTTAACTTCCCAAATTGACTGCAGCTCTTTTGCTGAACTAAAAACTGCTTCTGGAAACTTTGGTAGAATGTTAAGTGAAGGGTATGTTACGATCATGCCCCTCCCCAACTTCAAAGAGTCAAATATAGCGTCCTGGTTTCTTCATGTTTGCTGAATGTTGGATCATTATTTTCTAGGTTATTAGCTGCATCGAGGACACGGTCATGTACTAAGATAAAGTGTAGATCAGTGCTATAAGGCTTCAACGCCCCCTCCCCAGCTTCAAGAGTTCAAAGATAGCTTCCTGGTTTCTTTCAACCTTTCTTTCTTTCTTCATGTTTGATGCATTCTGGATGATTGTTTTCTGTAGGTTGGTAGCTGGAGTGATGACAGGTAGCTGATTATGCACAAAGATGCTAGATAAGATAAGATATAGATCAGTGCTATCAGGCATAAACGCCCCCCTCCCCTGTGTACAGTCAGCAGGGACCAGTCAGATGGTTGTCGCTAGAAATCTCCTTAGCATCCAGTGACGACTCCCCGCCTCAAGGGATCAAATATATAATAGCTTCCTGGTTTCTTAATGTTTCATGGATTATTATGTGCCAACATCAGCACATTTGCCACCTAGAGCCGTTCATTTTGTAATGTTTACAGAAGGAAAACATATTGTTTTTGTTCTGTTTCTTCTGCCTCTTCTTCTCCAAACACTGACCTCTGACCTGGTCAATGACCTGAACCAGGCCGCCTCTCACCATGGTAACTGGTTTTGGGTTACATCATGTTGCAATTTTATAGTAAAATGTGTTTGAGTAAGAATTAACAGAGCAGACCATATGCGAAGGTAAACATTATGCATTTTCTTTGCAGATGTTACAATTCTAGTTTTTATTGTTTTCTGTAGGTTGGAAGCTGGAGCGAGGACACGCGGCTGATCATGCACCATCCGGTGCGGTTCATGGGCGGGGCGGACAGCGTGGTGGACTACGTCAGCGATCTCATGAACAGAACACTGAAGGTCGTGACGATAGAAGAACCGCCCTTCATCTTCTACAGCGAGAAGGACGAGCACGGACGCCCGCGCAAGGGGAACGACAGATTCTACGGTACGTGTCTGTAGAAAACTGATCCAGCATTGGTCATAGAAGAACGTTATTGCATGACAATTGCACATGGTAGAATGTATAGCTACAACTATTGAACGAACAGGTACAAAAAAGTATAGAATAAGACCTAACATAGAATAAAATCTAATAAATCCTAATTACTCAAACAACAAGGGCTATCACAAGTTTTATAAGTATTACAATCGAGTGGGGCTAATTATGAATTTCAGTTTTTTTCTAAGCAAATTATTTACCTGTTTTGCATTGTGTGAGTTATTGCATGTAAAGATTTGGTCAATCTGTCTCTACCATCGAATCTGTTGAAATCTTTTGGAATTGAAATGTTTTGTTTGTTTATTTGTTTGTTTGCAGGGTTCTGTAAGGATATGCTGGAGCACTTCAGTAAACACCTGGGGTTTAAGTACGAGATGTACATGGTGGAGGATAAGAACTTCGGCGCCAGAGATCCGGTGACGGGCAGGTGGAACGGGATGGTGCGAGACCTTGTCGTAAAGGTACTTATTTATTTATTGTTTGATTCAGGCAGGGCCCATAGACATAGATACACGTGATAAAGACGTAATATACAGAAAATAATAAAACATAATATACAGAAATTTAAAAATACAGTGACTAGGTAAAAAAATCGAGAAATGACAATACCGTCCCGAAAACTGGCTTGTCGGAAACACCCCAGAATGCAGTAGGAGGCTGATAATGTCGTTACTCGACGCCAGGAGGCGAGCAGCAAAAGAGTGCGTCAGCTTTCGCCTCCTGGCGTCGAAGGTGTCGATACCCAGCTGAGCAAAGAGCAGACTGTTGCTGGTGGAGCGAGGCTGAGAAATTATGATTTTGAAAGCATCATGGTAAGCAACTCGTCTAATCATGAAATGTTGGAATATAATAAAAAAAAGACTGCTGTGACAGCTGTTATGTTTCAGAAAGCTGACGTCGCGGCTGCATCGTTCACCATCAGCTACGAACGGGAGCAGGACATCGACTTCACCAAACCCTACATCGACATCGGGCTCACGTTCGTGCTCAGTAACCAGATAGAGAAGGAGGATCGTCCCTTCAAGTTCTTAGACGTCTTCGAACCCAACCTGTGGCTGTCCATACTGCTCAGGTAAGACTGACATACATACCTGATATGAGCTTCCTAGCTATAGGGGGTCTGGATCCGGGCGTATGCTTCTAAGGAAAATGTTGAAAATTGAATCTTCTAAAATGGCATTTCCTGCGTTTTAGAGGGTTTCAAAGGCAAAATCAGAGGCGAATAGGATTCCTGTCCCACTGGTGATAGAAATCAGTCCATCTTTTAAAGAAAAATCCTGGATCTGTAGATAAAAATTGAGCATGTGTGTGTGGGTTCTTCCGAACCCCTGAAACCCCCGTGGCTACGGACATGCTGTTGTTGAACCTGTGTTAGAGTCCATATATTGCTCAGATAAGAATGACAAGCACATAAGGTGCAACTGTTGTAGAGCTGTACATACTGCATTGGTTATAAGACAGGTATTTGTATAATATTAGATGCACAACAATTGAGTTTTTTAAAGCAAAATTCGCGCTTTCCTATCCAAATGATAAGGAGACACAACGTACCTAAACAACTAAATAGCTTCAAAGGGCTTGGTTGCAATAACAATAATTTTTGCTGAACGGAAAATGTTTATTTCACGAGAAGTGTTTTATATCTTCCTCAGCACGCTGGCGGTCTCCTTCTTCATCTCGTTGGTGAACAAGCTGAGTCCGTCCGGCTACCACGGACACTTCGTCCAGGAGGAGGAGTAAGTACGCCTTTCTGTTACAACCTCCATTCCTTGATTTCCGTGTTTTTGACCTTTGAACGGCTTGGACTTTGAGTATAGGACTATGACTCTGTTTTGACGCATAAGACTTTTATATTTACTGTATGTTGTCCACTGTTGTCTTACTGTATGTAACAATGTCTTGTGTAATTTTGCTGGGCCCCCTTGGAAAACTGCTAATGTAAGCTGAATGGGGCTACCCAGTCGTCTTATGATGAAATGAATAAATATATAAATAAACCGTAAGGCAAAGGTCACCATTACGAGCAGGCAGAGAATACCCATTTTGAGTGACCACTGGTGAGAGCATCCCAAAAAATGGTGAACAGTCTTTTTCTTAGCATATCTTGCTAATTGTTGGTATTTTGCAGCTGGAGGGTTTACTTTCTTTTTATTTTCTTAACAAAACTGGCCTGCTATCACATAGTCAGACAATTTTATGATTCTAATGATTATCCAATTGATAAATATAATTAATTTTCAAACTACCGTTGATGCCACTTTATTCTTCAGTGTATTAAAAATTACGAATTCGTGAAGTTGAATTATGTTCTACTGACCATCTTCAAGCTTACCGAGCAGGTCCCAACTAGGGTAGCACGGGTTACGAACGCCATCTTGCGACATGTGTCTCACTTGCAGGCCCGAATTACTAGCCGAGGAAGAAGATCCGGAGGAGATCCAAGAAAAGAAGGAAGAAATGATCACGATGATGAGCTTGGGTAACGCCTTGTTCTTCGCCGTGGCTTCCTTACTTCAGCAGGGCGGCGATGTGTACCCAAGAAGTGCCCCAGGTTAGTAAAACCTTTGTTTTACGTTCATACAGGCCGACCTTGTTAGCGGAGGAAGAAAAACCCGCTGAGATTAAAGAGAAGAAAAAGGAAATGATCGGGATGATGAGTCTGAACAACGCTCTGTACTTTGCCGTGGCCTCTCTGCTATTCCAAGGAGGCGACATTTTGCCAAAGAGCGGACCAGGTAAGTGGGCAAACTCTGTCTCGCAAAGAAACGCACATGTCCAGCTTATACATGTAACTCACAGCGCACTCACTAGAATAGAAAAGTTTGGTCGGTCTTGAAATTTTATGCAGTTAGATCCTCTTTTTTCTTTCATTGCAAGTTGTGTCATAATATGCAACATCACAAAAATGTATTCTGTTTTTTTCACTATTTTAACCCTTCCTACATAAACTTCCTATCGATGCGCTCCCTCACTCTTCATTTAACCTTTCTGTGAGCAATTGTTTTGTAGAAGACATACGCCATACAGTGTTGCTATTTGGGTCATCAGGGATTTCACCTCTGACCTAGGTCAGTCAAAGGTCACTACATGAAATCCCTGCTGATCGCTATAATAACACTGTATGTGCGATGATACTCTACATAGTAGATCCCATGCTCACCGTTACAGTTAAAATCTAGACAACACCAGAATAGACATACCGTAAGGCTTATATCTTCTGGATTTAAATCTATAATCATAATTGTTTGTTTTTGGTACAGGGCGGATCACTGCATCCCTATGGTGGCTGGTGACAGTCATTATTGTCGCCACGTACACAGCCAACCTGGCAGCCTTCCTCACTGTCTCACGGATGGACACAGACATTAACTCTGTAGAGGATCTCGTATCTCAGGTTAGTCCATAGCCAAAGATAAATTCTTTATTATTAGCTTATAATCGAAATATGAATAAATGGTTAACTATGGATCTTTTCTTAAAACTGTTTCTGAACTGCTTGAATTTAAAACTTTTGATCCAACACACCTATAGCTAGAACTTCGACCAGTCACTCTGGTCTTCCCAGTGAGGCTTGTCACGTGGCTTTTTGAAGTGTGACGTCAACACTGGGTCAAAGGTATCTGGTAGACGATGTCGGCCCCCGTCGCGGTTGACTGAAGGGTGATGGGCCCTGATGTAAGGTATAGATGTGAGAACTGCTTTGTGTTAGATCAAAAGTTAAACATGTAACTACCAACACAGATGAATTTTCATAGCAATATTTCTATATATATTTCTTTCTTCTGTTTACGCAAATGTATTTATTGTATACGCACCGACAGAAACTGGTCCAGTATGGGACGGTGCAAAACAGCCAACCCCTATCGTTCTTTGAGTCATCCAGTATCCACACCTTCGAGACCATGGCTCGATACATGAAAGTACACAGCACTCTGACGATGAGCTCGCGAGGTAAGATTTTATTACTTCATTCAAAGCCTACTGTGACAACAGAAGAACTTACAAAAAACATGAATAACTTTATTGTACGACAATTGCACATGGTACAATGTATGACAATACAATGGCAATACAATACAGCGTCGCTGTATGATAAACACATTAAATGAAATTAAGGAGACGGATCGAACTGTACATATATATTAATCAACACAGGAGGCTAGTTGGCTTACCAATTTTTTCTATTCGCCAAAGAAGTACACAGAATATAGAATGTTTTAAATTTAGTAAAAGTTCTATATCTGACGTCATAAACGAGTATGTGTAGGTTCCTTTCGTTTTTTCCTTTCCTTTCCTTTCTTTTCTAGTTCTTTTTTCTTTCCTTCCGTTCAGTGATTCTTTTTTATTTCCTTTCTATCTTTTTTTCTTTCACTCACTCATAACCCTTTCTTCGACCATCCCAGATGGCATTGAGAAAGCGCGTGAGGAGAGGTACGCGTTTATCTGGGACAGCGCCGTGCTGGACTACGTCGTCAAGCAGCCTCCTTGTAACCTCCGCACGGTGGGCAGGCTGTTCGGGAAGATCGGCTTCGGCTTCGGACTGCAGAAAGGTTCCGCCTACACCGACGCCTTCTCCATCGCTATCTTGCAAGCCAGAGAGTCAGGGTATTTGGATAAGTTGAAAGAAAAATGGTGAGTAGCAGCAACAGTAGTAGTAGTAGTGGTAGTAGTAGTAGTGGTGGTAGTAGTAGAAGTACATTATAGTAGTAGTAGTAGAGTCAGGGTATTTGGATAAGTTGGAAGAAAAATGGCGAGGAAGCCTCGTTTTGGAAGTAAATAAATGAAAGGTATTAGTATTACTACAAGTTATAGTTGCTAATCAATTTACGCATCATTGTCTTATATGTTCTGTGTACCAGGCTGAAGTGTATTGTATGCGCTAACACTTGTTTCTTTAACTGTTAGCAATTTCATAGGCTTGAGAATTATAGTTCTTTAGGTTGTGTCACAAGAACATTATTTTCCTATGACCTCTCAACCTGATGATGCCATTCTCGGATATAGATGCATTTCTGCTTTCCTGGAAATTGCTAGCCTCTACCAGGCTTTGGGAGGCGTCTGGAAAGAGTAGAAATCGGCCAAATAGCCCGAAGCCTGGTAGAGGCTAGGAAGTTGCTGCAATGTTGTGCCGATGATTCTGACCACCAGGGTTGGTGGTCCTTGCGGTGGTCCTGATTCGGAGTCGGAGCGGAAGGACTACACGTGGCACGCCTTCACGGAAACATTGGAAAGCATTCGGGGACCCGATCCGTGTCGTAAAGTTGGGGATGGGTCAGTTGGATCAGTGGGACAAGCACTTGGCACATCTGGCGGTTCTGTTTGGGACGATAAAGTTTTAGCTTCATTTAAGCTGTCCCAATTATGCAAATGTACTTCTTTTGAACTTCACGACTTTAATGTCTGATGGTCATGTTCACTTTTTAAACATGTGAGCACATTCTCTCAGCTAAGTCCTACATACTAGTACTTAATGATGAGGTAGCAAAATATGGGACAACTTAAACGTAGCCTTTAATCTTTATTCATAACTTTTAAACTTTAATGATATTATACAGGACGGCCTGCTTCTATAGGCAATGTTCCTTTATTTTTTTATCATCCTAAAATGCCAGCCCGTGTTGCCATTGTTTGTTCCAAAGATCGTCAGACCGCTTCTTGCAACAAAGCCCCATCGTAGTGTTGCAGCACTCCCTAGCGATTACCATTGGTAGTGCAGATTGTGAATCGTGATGTGTGTCATTAGCAGAACCGCACCAGTAGATAGCCTTTGTTACGGAAAACCGGTGCTACTCTGGGACCCAGCCAGACAATGCATGCCTAATTTAAAGCAGTTGCCATGTAGCTTTAGAAAAGCCCATCGCAAAGATCCTTGTCGAAATCCCAACCAAGGCAAAACCATAGACCGATCCAATACCCCTTATTATTCTCCAAAGACCTCGGGCAAAACCATTACAATTTTGTCCACTATTTTTAATTCCGTCCAAGAGTTCCTGTCATCAACATCAATGAATACAAAATCAACTGAGTAAAGGGCCAAGATTTAGTCATGTCTAGCAACACACTCTTTTATTCTGAAGCAAGTTTATATGTAATTTCTAACACAAGAAATTGGACTTACCCAACTTTCGAATGTACACCTTGCATCAATCTTAGTCAAGGTATGAACAATCTACATGTTTCATAGTTACTTCAACCAACATACTAGATGAACGTTCAAAATAACGCTCTCTCATTGGTTACATTGTTTATTTTGATGGACATCGCTACCAACGGGATCGATCTATGGATTAAAAAAAAGCATCTCGTCCCCAGAGTGCTCTGGCTTCCGACCAAGGCTGTCACGTGACCCGTTCTGAAAGTGACTCTCGTTCCCTCCTCGTTCCCAGGTACACTGGGGAGTGTCAGGACCAGAACTCGGCCACCACGGTGACCAACGACAAGATGGACGTGTCAAAGCTGCTGGGCGTGTTCTATATCATCTACGTCGGCATGGCGGTCAGCGTGGTCGTGCTGGTCGTGGAGTGGGTGGTCGCCTGTATGATGGCGGTGGACCAAACTGACCCAGAGGTATAATTTCTATTGTTAACTTCGCCAAGAAGGTTATGTTTGGAGTGTAGGTAGCATTTGTGTGTGTGTGTGTGTGTTTATGTGTGTGTGTGTGTGTGTGTGTGTGTGTGTGTGTGTGTGTGTGTGTGTGTGTAAATGCGGTTTAGCACGATAACCCAAGAAGCTTTAGATGGATAGGGTTTGATGAGACTTACGATTTTGATATCTCTTGATCTGGACTTATCATGGTCACCAAGTTTGGATGTCAAATAGCTCTTTGTCTCAGAAGTGGCATTGGACCCCCTAGGGTTTTGTTCTGGAACTGCAGGATCGCAGCGTAAAGGAGGATAATTACGGCTCTTACTAGTACTCTTGCAGCATCAATGAGCTAAATATATAATTTGTCAGTCAGAAGGGTTCCGATTAAAATCATTTGGCGAAGGTATGAGGTCGCGTGTAACTCTTGTTCTTTCTGCCGTTTTCCCCAGGCTCCCAAGACCTTTCTCGAGGCCTTCAGAAAACGACTGGCGATCTTAGAGCGCGACATCGAGGAGAACTGGTTCCCGACCTTAGCCAAGCGGCGGAGGAAACAACAGGAACTCAAGGAAGGCGTCAAGAAGAAGAGATCGGTGAGCCAGAGCTCCTCAAGATCAGCCGACTTCAAGAACTCCCGATCCGCGGGGAGTCTCAAGATTAACGGGAACTTGCCAGATACTGTAATAGACACCAGTACTAAGGTTTAGACGGAGTTGTGCAAAGATTGGGAAGCTTTTTGATTACAGCAATGGTAATATATAATATACTGGTCATGGTTGGTCGTTTCCTACCCTGGGAGGCAGACTGGAGATCGGGCCATCGGCCAGTTCCTTCGGCGGCGCAAATTTCCGTCTCGTAAGCGGTGGTCGCCTTTCAGAACGGTCGTCGCCTTTCGATGCCATATCGCTGACTGGTCGATGCCATTGCTGGGCGTATCATAACTTTTTTGAGGTCCTAAAACGTATAAAACGTACTTTATACTATAAAAAGCAACATTCCAATTGCAAATGTAAAGGAAGATCATGGAAAATAGTAAAGTTATTAGGAGGTAGTAGATATCCTTCAATCTTGAGTATCAGTAAACAAAGAAAAAAGCACAAGCTCGGATTCGAATCAGAAAGCGTAGCTCTAAAACCCTTACCTATACTCTGACCCTCTACGCCACGAAACAACACGGTGTGGACCGTGCTGATACACTTAAAGTTAGCCGCTTTGCGAGATGGCATCAACCGTTTCAAAAAGCGACGACCGTTTACGAGACGGAAATTAGCCAAACACCATCGTAGCGCCAATCTAGATCGGCGGACGTACTGCCTTGGATCGCCGAAGAAACTTGCTGGCGGCCCGATATCCAGTTTGGCTCCCGGGGTGGTCTTTTCCCCGCAGTTTTGATAACTTCATTGCAGTAGTTTTGGCAAGGGTATAGCGAAGATTATAATATGTAAATTAGGTCTTGAATGTACGAGAGGAACTTGATATATGGCTAGTCGTTTCTATAGTCATATACTAGTGAATGATACAGAAATCTCTTTTCATCAAAATTCAAATTATTCTGGTCTGTACTTGGCCTCAAAAGGTATTAGAGAATAAAGTATCGCTTTTTTCTAGTAGGTTGTAGATATATGCTTTTGATGAAGTTGGTAGTTACTTACATTTCATATGTGTCACGGTGCTTTTTTAGGCCATATATACTAGTCTGCTTTAGCACTAGGCATTGTCATTGCTATCATTTCATACAAGTGGACTAGTACATCCATGATGCAAAACGTTTTCTTGTACTTGGTGTAAAATCAAGAAAAGGGACTCGAAAGAAGGAAATTAGTACATACAGATAAAGAAGTCTGCCCAAATACTTTTGAGCGCTATACAACAATATATGTTCGTTTTTCTCTTAAATAAGGGAAGGCACAATTCTTGTTTGAAACATAATACTGGTGAATCAATTATGAAAAGGTCTAATTGAGCAATTTGAAGAGATCATTGGTCAGAGAGAATAGTAGATGCTTAATGACTCTTAAACTATTCCCTGTTGTACCTTATAATACAACTACAGTAGTGCGCAGGCGTATCCCAAGATGCACTGCGGTTTCCGGTCTTCCGAGCATTGACCGATACTTCTACAACCCCGGGCCAGCTGGGGGTCAAAGTTCACAGGGAATTCTGGGATATGCCTGCGCACTGCTGTGTAATACAACTAACAGTAAACGCAATATGCATTCAAAATTAAAGGTATACTAACAGTGTATGATAATCCACTATGTGGACAGTGACACGCTATCTTAGTTATGACATTTTATATTCACTGTCACATTTAGTATAACATCGATCACTAGTTTATCATAATAGCAGGAACTCATGATCAAATATCTTTGTCTTTAGTCATACGTAGGTCAAATCAGTCACAAAATCGGCAAAATGCACAATTTATCACATGTTAGAAAAATGTTTGAGGCACACGTTTGTTTTACTTGTATATTCTAATGCGAAAGCAGACACTAACAAATGTACATTTGCTGTGGAACATTCAAGATTGTACCTAGCTACATCCTGGCTACGAAATGTTCTGAATGATACAATAAAAATTGCGAATTACTTCCAGTGTGTTTGTCATCATGCATGTTGTATATATGCTTAGAAAAAAAATTGACAAAATATTGACAAAAATGGCCCTTTTTGAGCCGGTCGTAAAGGCTAGAAATCCAGATTAATAAGATCCAAAGTGAAGAAGACAATTCAACCTGTACTTTATAATCCGTATTTTTTTCAGTAAGAGCTTGAATTGTCTTTGAACATTATTTAACAACAGCTTGCGGGCTTCTCGGCAGGCTCGACTTGGTTGGTGAGTTGTAAGGCTAACGCTTTAGATTCTCTGTCTTCTTCTTGTCTTAGGCATCTAAAATGTAAACCACACACATTATCAATTCAGAACAGACAATTCTATACCAGGATATCCATCGATAGATTCAAATAATAAAATGCTCTCATTAATTACGCAGATTAGGTTTGGTTTGCATGATTTATATTTGTCGATATTCCTCTGTTTCACAGTTACACATATTACGTGTTTATATAAATACAAGATACTAGTGCATGTATATACAATAGTGGATATATGAGTTTAAGAAGTGGCCTACCGTGCAAGCCCAAGGACTGCTTCTTGAATGTTGGATCCTTCCTTTGCACTCGTCTCAAAAAAGATGGCTCCTGCTGCCTGAACAGTAGAGTAAGATATCTGTTTATTTATTTGTTTATTGGCCATTTCCACAAAGTGAGGGGAAGACAAAACAGGTGCATACGCACATTTTCAAGTTGCCCTCCCTTATACAAAAAACATGTACAACAACAAAATTTACACAGTCAATGGCAGCAATATATAAAAATACACAAAAAGTAGTATAGTAGTGAAAATGAACACACTTTTGCTAATTTCTTCCCCGCCTCTGTTGAGATGACTTTCTTCCCGTACTTTTCTGCCGTCGGTCTCAGGTCTGTCTTGTTGCCGCAAAGCACGATGGGAAGCTTCTTTCCTGCTCCGTCCTAAAGAGCAAAATGTAAGAGTCTGACCTCTGTCCCTTTTGTCCAGAAACACAAACTGTATCACACACGTTTGTAAATTGCAAAATCGTTAATTCCTTTTGGAAAAGAGTTGATCACATGGTGGAATGCTAAAACACAATTCCAAATAGGCTTAGACAAAAAAATTATATGGACACATGTCAAACTCTCAGTTGAACAAAGCCATGTTGACCGCTAAGTATTATATTTTTCGACACACTGTACGCAATCAGACATTTAGGTTACAAAATACGCCCACAGCTAGAAAACGTGTTGTTGTAAACGGGGAAAACCACCATACACTATGTATTTGTAAACTATGTTTGTATGTAAGTATTGTAATAAAAAAAGTAAAGAAAAAAAAGTAGAACATTTCACCTCCACAGCCGTGATCCAGTCCCGGACGTTCAGAAATGACGCCTCGTACGTGACGTCATACAGGAGGATGACGCCATCACTCCGTCTGAAGTATGACGTAGCGATGCTTCTGAACCTGGAGAAGGTGAAATGTAATTACGTACCTTTATATATATTATATATCAGTCTATGATATTTATGTATATGCAGTGGAAAATGACTCATATTTCATCTGCAATTGTCCCTAATTCGACGTCGAATAAACAGACTATTCACGATGGTATCCGAAATCTCTACAATATTTTGTAGACTAAAAATTTACAGAAGACTGCACTCGCACGAAAATCGTACTCGTATGGGAAGGTACACTGTATCTCAACGCAACAATACAACTTGCGTGCAGTACCCACTTATAAAGGTAGGGGCAAACTTGGCGTAACAGTGAATTCCAACACACACACACGGGCACACACGCACACACACATACACACAACCAAACACACACACACACACACACACACACACACACACACACACACACACACACACACACACAAACACTCTAATTCTAAAATGTGGGTTCTGAAACTAGACAGTAGATATTTTCATCTTTTACTGACCTCTCCTGCCCTGCAGTGTCCCAGATCTGTAGTGCTACCATGTCTCCGTCCACGTCAAATGTCTTAACTTGTGAGTCCACACCTGGAGGAGGTT